GCTGCTACACATACACGGCCTCCATCCCCGCTAACCTAAAACCTCTCTAAGCTCCGGGCTGGAATCCAACGAATGCAGGAGGCACCGCCGATCACATGCCAGAGCTGCTGTGCAGAAAACAATGACATGTTTAGATAACGCTGTTCAGACCACACGCTCGGCCATCTGGGCCGCCGGTGGGAGCGCTGCAGCCGCTCGCACGGCCGAGTGACCGAGTCGTACTGCAGCTTTCTGCCCAACATAAAGCCATCTCAGGCTCTGTCCGCTCTCCTTTTCATCTACTCAGCTGCTCTCTTCAGCCGTTTGTCACGCTGAGGTAACAGAGTTCAAAGGTCAATGCATACACCCCTCATCGCAACAAGGAAAGGTTGAAACAGGCAAAGTATATTCCATTTTAGAATAAAGGAAATCTTATTTACTGTCAAGAGTTTTGCTTTAGTCGATGTGCACCATTCCAGGCCATGTAGCCCGGAGCTTACAGTGAAGACCCTGTGAGTGTTTCGCTCTCCTCTCCCACCCTCATTAACGCTCTACTGTGCTGCGCATTGTTAATCCGCTGCAGGTTTCACTCCACTTCCACTCTGTCCTTAGTATCTTCATCCTGCTGGTGGGCTTCTATTGGGAGCAGATTATCCTTCCATCTCTGCTTATCAACTAGCTTAGCCCCAGGGGGGGATGGCTGTATGTTTATTTTATTTGTCATGTTTGGACGTGAGCCACGCACTCACACTTTGCGGTTGCAGACGAGATTCACACCTGCCAACCTGAGCCCCCTACAGGCAAAGAAAGGAACTGCTTCAAGGTTGTTTATTTTCCAACCAGAGCACATCGAAAATACTGTTTAGGTCGCAGCTATAAATCCCAAAATGTCTTCTTCTGAAGGTTTGGTAAATGTGTTTTTAATTTCTATTCCGAGCATTTAACAACAGGAAGATTTTCCGGATACTTGATCAACAGACAAGTGGTTTAAAAGATACCGTCAAGTGGAGAAAAGGTCTCCATAGTGTGCAGAACACACAGTTGTAGCAGTAAACAGACATAACGGATTCTAATAACACCTATGATCATGTCCTAGTCTTGGAGAACGGAGGGCAAGCTCAAGAGCTGCATAAACCCAGTGTGCGTATGTTCCGGTCAACAAAACCGTTGTATTTGGCTCAATCAATGAATAAAATGTAAACATGGTAGGACTGGAAGTGCAGGTCTGAACCTGCTGCAGCACTGATGCCATGTGATCTCAGTGCACCAAACAGAGCAAAAGCCGTGAAACACCAGCAACATTTTGAGGCAGTATTACGTCAGTTCAGTGTTTGATTGCAAGTAAAGCCCTGTTCGCACTTGTCTGTGATATTAATCCTGTGCAAATTTGCCACGTCCGATATTTGTCAAGTCAAAAATTTCACTGCAATTTCCTGACTTATTATTATTTTTTTCTGTGTCTTTTTTCATGCCTCTTTCCAGCTCGAGAATCATAGAGGCTGCTTTGGCAATTTTAATTATGAATATTTTCCCAACCGCTGTGGTTGTGCAGCATTTGCTCCAACGACTATTGTTCTTTTTAGCAGCGATTGCTCTCATCGTTCAGGGAAGCGTATGTGACGCATAAACATGATCAAATGCAATTACTCAAGGAGGGAAATTTGATTTGGAGCTGGCTAACATGAAAAAAATTAAATAAAAAATTCTCCAAGTGTTCATCAGAGGTCTTAGATCAGAGGCGTGACTCAGGAAGTGAACTACAGCAGAGTATCATTCAAAATGTTTGACCAGTCCAACCTCCACACTACAGCTTTTTTAATATCTTACTTATCTTACATGAAGCAAACGTACAGAGCTGAAGTAAACCATGAGGAGTAGGAAGCAGGCGTCCTGTTAGTGAGTGTCAGTCTGGCCTCATTGTTACTGTGTTCAGTGGACTGCATTGCTTTGACTGCTCCCGCTGACCCACGTCAGAGAGCACAAGTGAGCAGCAGAACAGGGATGGGTCGGGACCATCGAGAAATACCGGACTGAGAACGTCCCAGGAGGACGGGAGGGACGTCTCTATCGGCCAATCAGCCGGTAGGAGCCTATGACAGGGCCTATGAACGGAGGATGAGGCGTTTCTTTACAAGTAACTGCAACTTTCAGATTGAGAAGAAGAGTTTCCTTCAGGAGACATTAAGTTCCTCACAGCTTTGTGGCGCACTCAGTTTGATTTGACACCGTCTGTTCAGATTACTCAACTCAGCTACGGGCTGCTCTCAGGAAAATAAAAGTACATGAGCATCAGAAACGGAACCAGGACATTGGCAAACATTTGGGAAAGACGCAGCTCGAAGAAAAACACTATGATAAAATAATAATACATTCTTTACAGACAAAATGTGAAATTATTTCTTTTGAAAATTTTGATTAAATATAAGTTTGTTTGTTTGTTTTTTCAACACACCAATATTTATTATTTATTGTCATTTGTTTTGTTTTTTACAATTTTATAATACCGAAAAACAACAAATATTCTTCATTTTTTGTAATATTTTTAAATAAATTTAGCACGGCCAAATTGAATGAATATGTCATGGACAAACTTAAAAGTAATAACAATAATTAGAAATAATAAGGTTTTTGGTTTTTTTTTTACATACATTTTTTAATAAATATTTGTTAATACCAAAACGAATAATTTATCAAAATAAATAAAAAGCTGGATTTTCTGGATATATGTCAAGACAATGTACAAGATGTTTGGGCTTGACAGAGTTGACATGTTTCCTTCATCACACTTTCCAGAATATAAAGAAACCCTGAAAGAGATTTAAACCTGACTAATGACGCACACCTCATACATTCCTCTTCTGCTCCTTTTAATCAGACTGGTGTAAACCGGTTGTAAACATGATGTTTCTTCGACTGTTGGAAAGAAAAGGGTCCCGGGACAGACACAGCTGAGGGATTCTTTGATTGCACCGGATGTTGTGTGTTTGGACTCGATCCCTGGCAACATATTAACACACCACACTCGTGTGACAATGACGTCATTCATTTCCCAATGCTGCAACTGTAACCAGCAGAACTGGATACAGCGTAGGAGGCGGGGCCACGTTCATTCGTATTAAAGTTGCACAGTGGTGCATGAAGCAAAAAAACATTTGGTTAAAATGACCCAGATCCTTCACATCCATGGGCCCAAATAAGGGAAATAATGGTTCACTCTAGCTTTAACCCTGTTGTTGCACAATTTAAACAAAAACACTCAGTGGGACAAATTTACAGCCAAATCCCAGCTGACAGCCCCTGGAAGCACTACCGCCCCATAACAAGGACTTGATGTATTACCCAGCATTCCAAAGTGTAAGCAATAGGTAAAGGTTGCTCCCCGTCTGCTCCTCCGCTTCGTACCGTTTCAAACAGAAAACACTTAAAAACAGCAGCAGCTCAACAACATCTGTCTGACTTCCCACGATACCATAAAGCAAAGTCGACACCTTCCCTCCCCCGACTCAAACTCGGCTCACAAATGCAATCCTCTACCTGTTCAGTTGATCTTAGGACAAAGTGCTGACACTTAAGTAACCGGAAAGGGTTACAAAACATAGTTGAGGGCAAATTGGACTACATTTTACCTCGTTATTCACATCATTTCCCAAATGGCGGGGCGGCGCTGTAGTACCGCGTGACCGAGTCGGTCCTATCAAACGTCTGGAGGTAGAGGAACATGACTTCATGCAGAAATGTGAAATTATGAGCTGCAGCGATGACTTCATCTTTGGAAGCGCCTCTTATTATTAAAAACAACCCTTTCCACATTTAATGCAAACTAAGACAACTTTGAAACCTAACGCTTGCTTATTAATGCTGGTCATCTGCCAGTAGCTTCAATGTTACTATGTCAGAGACAATGTGTTTTAATGCAGCTGCTTTAGTGTCATCCCTTCCAGAGCCACTGTACAACATGCACACTGTTGGGACTAATCAGCCCAGTGAAAGCCAAGTTCCAATGTGTGTGTGTGTGTTGCAATGCGACCGCACTTTGAAGCTAACAGAGGAGCCAGCGTTCACAGACCACACAGTATACAAACAGATAGCATTGTCTCCACCCGCCCCCTAAGAGTGTTGATAATGCAATAGGTTTTTAACTGTAATTTAATTTATTCTTTTTCACAAGGGAAAAAAGACTGATATCAATGCAGGGCCCCCCCTCCCCGACTGCTACGATGCAACGAACCCATCATCTTTGATCACTGTCAGAGCTGAGATAAGCCGTCATGGTGCACTTTAGACCTTAACCCAGAGCCCTTGCTTTATGCTCGCTTCACCTAACACACACACACACACACACACACACACACACACACACACACATATATATATATGCGCACAGCACACAGCATCCACAATGATTGAGCAAAAAAAAAACAGTTAGTGTTGGTACCACAGATGGTGTCATGCCAAAGTATATACACACTATATGTGTGTGTGAAGAGGAACTGTCTGCAGATCAGCTGCATCCGTGGAAGAGCTATTAAACAATACTGAGACCGTTTGTCTCAGTATTGTTTAATTAATCCTTGATGTGCCCACAGTATAAAACGTATTCACCACATATAAAAGCACCCTGTAATGTAAAGTATACCACTGTGTGACTCAGCGTAAATCCTATGAAGTTCGTATTAATCCTGACATCACTTGGTATCAGACAGAGACCTTTCTAGATGATCCCCTCGACACCGGTCTGCACTGCAGTAGCAAAGCACGTGTTGTGTTCAATTGGACCAAAGCATGTCAAAAGAAGAAGAACTCAATCACACCGTGATGGTCCTTTAAGCGGATGAGCAGGCGGGGCCAAGCTGCAAAGCTGAGCGCATTGATTGAGCTCAAACCCGATATGAATTGGTACATTTTTCAATGAGGTCTCGCGTGCACCGCACAGTTTATATAACGTTACTTTATGGGATGTTCACGGTCCCGTGCGTGGGTTCATACCGGTGACACAGTGCCTGGAAGACGTCACTACTCACCGCATCTTTCTCCGCTCCCCCGCTCTCCTGGTGCTCCATGAGTTTCCTCTTGTTTCTATTTTCCATCTTCTTCATCACTTAACTGTATTAAAAAAAACACTGGCGCGTGTGGGTTTGGCCCGCTCGACAGCCCGTGTCGCCGTGCGGCTGAGTCCTCTCGGTATAATGTCAGCCGTTCAGCCTGCTGGCAACGTGTCCGCTCGCGCTGGTGTCGACTTCAGTGACGACTCGCCACCGAAATGAAATTCATCGCGTGCTGATGCAGTTCACTGGAGTTCAGAGTCCCCCCCCAAGAGTTTGTCCAAGCCAGCCATTCCTGGTCAGTAGCCGGTCCTGCGGCTAGCTAACTTAAGAGAGCCGAGCTACACTCGGTACGCCCCGTGCTGCCTGCACATCTGGAGAACCCGTTGTGACAAGCTGTCAATCAAGCGTGCAGCACCAGCAGCCACGAGTTTATCCTTCAGGGTAATACAAAACCAAAAATAAAAGGACAATGTATGGTCGTTTATAAAGTCAGTTTAAAATTTGCGGGGGGAAAAGATATCCATGCTGGGCGGTGGTGTCTGGCAACAGTTCATCCAACCCAACTTGTCCGTTAGTTGGTAACGTTAGCGTCTGGTGCTAAGCTATCTTCCTGCTGCGCGACTAGCCGAGCGGCTAGCCAGGCTGCCTTGCTTTTGGCGTTTACCTGCACAGACACACCGTGACATCCATGACAGGTCCGTCTCCACTCCTCACAGAGGGCTCCAGATGATTCCCACCGGAACACCGCGCCTTGCATCCGTCTCGGCGGTTTATCCGGCAGCGAGTGTCTTCTTCAGCTGTTCTTCCATCATCAGATAAAATGCTAAGCTCCGTGTGTAAACACCGGGTCGAGCTCTGTGTTGAATTGCTGCCTCGGCTCGGCACGGCACGGCACGGCTTGGCTTGTTTCCTGACTCTGTCACGGCCACTGCAGTGTCAAGCTAGCAAGAACGACAGCACAACGTTCGATTTAAATTTACCAAAATAAAAGTACGTTTATTCAGAATCGGCTTTGTTTGTCAAATGTGTACACATACAATGAATTTGACTCCGGGTTTCCATTGCTCTCAATACGGCTAAAAAAGAAAGCTGGATAAGGATAACAAATACACATGTAACTGCTGTGTCTGTGTGTGTGTGTATACACACCTTCCTTTTAATGATATGTGCATGAACTATAATTTCAACTTAAACGCTGTGTAGCTACAGTGTATAGCACAAGAAAGGGGATTTCTTGGAGTTGACAGGACTTGCAATGAAGCGAAAGATATATTAAGATAAAGTATTTCCCTTTGAAATAGTGGATGTATGTTGTACATTATATAAATATATTTCGACAATCAGGTATTTGGTCTATAATGTGGTGATATCTTTGTCTACATCATACAATTTATTTTGAAAGGACACTAATCTTCTTCCTTACTTCAGCCTCACCTGCTGACACAGCTCAAGTGAAGATTCTTCTTGTAAAATTGTTAAACTCAAACTCATGTGTGGGAAATTTGTTTGAAAAAACGTACATTTAAGAAAAAGTCATTCATTTTCTTTCATATTAAATCCCAGGGTGTGTCTTTGTGCGCGTGTGTGTATAGAGGTCATTGACAATTTAATTAGTTTTGTTGGACTCTGCTGCCACCTGCCGAGAGACAATAAAACATGCTTTGAATATGTATGCTTGTATTTTATCAGAATCAGAATCAGCTTTATTGGCCATGTATGCTTACGCATACATGGAATTTGTCTCCGGTTTCCACTCCGCTCTCAATGTACAAACACAAATTTACAATAAACAAGAAAATCTATGTATAAAGAATAAAAAAGGGTAGCAAAAAAAGTAGAACGGATGTAGGTATAGACATTTAGCTGTATACAATATAAGTATAAATATATATCCAAGAGAAAAAGTGTATATATATATATATATATATATATATATATATACACACACATGTGAAAATCTATAGACAATGGCATGAATTGTAAGTGGTGGTAATAGTGCAGTATAACTTATTTATTGTTCACCAGAGTGACGGCCAGTGGAAAGAAGCTGTTCCTGTATCTGGTGGTTTTCGCGTACAGAGCCCTGTAGCGCCTATACTCATGTCTGAGATATTTTAACCAGCATATTAACCTTTGTGAGACTATTTTTTCAGTTATTATTTTTTCGATAAAGGAGACAAGTTAAGTTCTGCAGGGTTATGAGGGTAAACTATACAAGAAGCCTAACAATAATGGTGATGATGTATTTAAGAGAAATTAATCTATCCCGGACAAATGTTTATTTATAGACAACATTGAATAATAGTGATCTGACGATCATATCGTTTAAGGTAAAAAATAAAATGTTTGGCCCTATATACTACATCCCTGTGTGCTACTACATTATACTTGTATAATTACTTTCCTGTGACATTTTGTTTTTAAAAATGTGTTTATATTCCTTTACTTCTGCATATGTATTGTGCTGTAAATACATTTGTGTTGATTTGTTTTAATAACATTGCTGTCTATATATTTCACTTATAAAATGATTTAGCATTCTTTACAATTTATAACCTCAATTGTTGCCATTACAGATTTTTTCTTCTGGGGCTTTTCTTCACTCCAGAAAAAAAAAGAAGTTGCATTTTATAGTTGATCCAAGAAAAATGACAAACCAGACAGAAGTCTTTTTTTCCCTTTTTTTTTATAAAAAAAGGTATTTTTCTTTTACCCCAAAACGTTTTTAACAAAGTGAACATGCATAGAAATACAGCTGGTCTTTGTCAAACAGCAACAAAACAACTTGCATTGAGGAACACTCCCTTTAATATGTACATATATGAGATGTGGTACCTAAAACCACACACACACACACACACACACACACTGAGAAAGACACTACGTTTGACCTTTGACCTGTGGGGAAAGTATACAAAGAAATCTCTAAACTTGATTATTTTACACCTGATTTAACAACATAAAAGTTGTTCACTTTGGTTGATCTTATTGCTTCATAAATATATCATTACAATGCTTGTATCCTGTTACTTTGCCTTATTTCCACATTGTATATAAAACTCAGATTCATGTAAAGCCAAAGATACGTGGGCCTATAAATATGCTTCAATTTGATTGTCACAAAACAAAAGTACGTTTGAAATCAATTCAGCCTCAGAGCTAAACAGATGACATGGCACTTTAATACCCAGGCCTAAAATATCAACAAAAAAGCAACCACAAAGCTTATTATTGCACAGTAACCCAAAAATTGCATATATCAGTAAAAGTATCAGAGGGCAGTGAAGACACAGTCCATGCACAAAAAGAAACAGCTAAGCTACAATACAGAGAAATCAAGGAAAACTCCCACAATAAAAAAGGAGAAATACAATTTGGAGAGGCCAGTGTAAAACACCCGATGTCAGAAAAGTTCATTTGCACAGTGAGTGTCACCAATCCTGCAGAAGTTAGGAAGAAGTAATCCTTACATACAGACATTTCTCCCTGGCGATTGTTATGTATTAAAAATGTTTTAACCGATTGTCATCTTGAGGGACATTCAAACATAATTCAAACATAAAGACATTAACAAATTTAATAAAAGATAAAAGAAATAACAGCAAAAGGACAGAAATATGAAAAAAAGAGATAAAAGCGTGGTCCATTTTCCTAGATACAAAAATGAAATGTCATCGCTGTTGGACCGTACACTATAAAATGAATTTCTTTTATCGGATAGGTCACTGAAGGCATCACACAAACCGCTGAGCAGCTCCATGACAGTCTGTTACATGTGCTTGTTTTTTTATGTTACAGTAGCTTCACCAGAAGGCCTTCCAACACTGCAGGTTAGCGTTTCAGCAGGAGAAACTGGGTTGGACCCATATTCATTATTAAATATCTGAAGAGAACTGACTCCATACTTAACAGTAATACTCTGGAGTTTAAAGAGCAACTAAATCCTTAATTGGTGTTTTATTTATGAGTAAATGCAAGAGAACATCATCTACCAGCTATTTGACCAAACTGTCTATTGGTAGTTCTACACTATTCTCAAATATGCTATCAGTAGCTGGCCATTTTTATGACAATTAGGACAAAGCAAAAGCATATCTACTGTACCGTCAGAGAGTATGGCTTTGTTTCCACGAGCTGCTCAAACCACATGCAACTATTCTACACACTAACTACATACATGAGCCTCGACAGAGGCTGAGAGGAAGCACTTTGCAGTTTGGGTTTGGCTTTTTTGAAGCCCCCATCCTGCTGGCATCCCACGGATTTACTTTCATCGAATCCCTGCTGAAGTACGAGGCTGAAGTTGGCTTCTGAATGGGAGAGTTATGGGAGAATATTTCCTAAGTGGTTATTTCGATTTGTCTAACAGAGAAAAGATATCAAATTAGAATTTAGGAAAAACAAGAAAAAAATCGTGTTTTTTCATGTACTTAGACTGCATGAGACCATTAAAAACTGTTCATGTAGACTTACCAAACCGGGAATAAACTGTCTCTGGGAGCCCAACGCTGTTTTAAATCTGATTGTATATTTGTTTGATCTCTGAAAAAAGGCTTAATCAGAAACTATGACTCATAACCCAACTCCAGCCCAACTCAGACTGGTCTCACATAAACAAGAGAAAACACTTCAGTTGATGGCCTCAACAAAAGCCCACAGAAAACCTATACACATTATACCAATATTAAAACTATTACATCATTCATTCATTCATAAACTTTCATCAACCAGCAGAAATCTCTCAACACACACAGACAGGAGTCACTCAACTGAAATGTCTCTCCAGCTGAGAGGAGAGCCAGGATTTACTGTGTTTTCTGTTTCAACAATGAGATGAGGAGGATCTCGGGGCTGGTGCACTACAGGAAGGCTGACTGCAGGGGGCGCTGGTAGAGAGACTGTCCCTGGACAGCAGAGGAGGAGGAGGAGAAGGAAGCCCGCGGCTTCATGACACCCCAACCAGGAGAGAAGGCGAGCTCACAGAAGCCTCCCGTGTTTTCACCTGAAACACAAAGGCGGAGACATTTAGTGCGATTTAAATTATGGTATTTCTGATATTTGATAAAACGTCGTCTCAAATTAGTAATTAGTCTGCTACAAAGCTTAATTAACTTCCTCAAATTAACACAGCCTACAGTTACAGCATGTCATAGTTTACATATGTGTAAACAATAAAGAACATGAGCAAAGAATCCCTCAACAGAAGGAAGAAGTGCACCTGATTAAAAGAGGAGAGAGGGCAAATTGAATCATTTGCTGCACAATTTCATCAGAGCAAACTTTCTCTCGAGCAAGTGTACATTATTAATTTGAGGGAACTAACATTCACCGTGCACACAAGTTAGTGATCTTAAGGGAATGATTTGTAACTTAAGAACACAAGAATGTGTCTCCCTTCACTTCTCTTCAGGGAGATAGAAGGAAAATGTTGGCATGCTAAAACAAATGATGTCCAGTGTAAAGGGTTAATGACTCTATGGTCATAATGTGAACCATCACCCAATCTGTGTGGTCGTCTTTGTGTAAGTGTTAGTAGAGCAAAACCAGGGGCACACATATTAAAACATGGCTCCACAGCACCACTAGTGGTCAAAAACATCACAGCACATTTGCCTTTAACGTCCAACCGAGATCACAAAAATCCTCTCAGTTGAAGAAATAAAATCCATGTCAAGCTGCTTTTCAGCTATTGTTATTATCTTTATTGTGAAAATCAAGGAACTGTAGCCGGCAAACTGTCATTAGCTGCTGCCTTATTATTTGCTGGATGTTTAGTAGATAGTTTGTTCAGCAAAACAAGACACGTGTTCGTGTTTGCAGACAGAAAGGAGACATTAGTGAAAAGCAGATTCTTTTGTGTATAAGGCTGCTAGTGTGCCAGTGTGCCTGTGGTAGAACACTGACAGTTCAAATTTAGAATTAAATGGCTTAATTGGCTACATCAGGGGTGGCCAAACATTTGTGATTGTGAGCCATATACAGAAAAACATAAGGAGTTAAAGGAGGCCAACACTATTAAATGCATATAGTTCTCAACCTGTCAACCTGTCGCTGCACCAGAAAAACCCATAGAGTCGCGTATACTGGTGTGCCCACATATTACAAAAACTATATCTGTATCCGATGTATCATAAACTTGCATGGCCTAAGCGCCCACAGGAACTATTATATAAGTTAAAACAGGCAGAAATGGCCAAAACTTGGTTTCTGTTGCGCCCACTTAAAAGATTACAATGTAAATACAAAAGAGATGTGCATCTGTCTAATATTAAGATGTAACAAATGGAGCAGGCAGAACCAGTAAAATCTCAAGAGGTTGAGATCATTTCACTGAATTTAGTCGACATCTAGTGTTTAAACCAGGATGTTCAATTTACATGCAGCATCATTTATTAGAAATATCTTTAATCCCAGGATTTCCATCATGTTATCGGGACACTGAAGCAAGCACAGCAAGAGCCAAGGGGACCATACCTTTAACAGGCCAGGGGTGTGAGGAGGAGGGGGAGGGGGAGGGGGAGAAAGAGGCGCAGCGAAGGGAGGAAATCCTGAGCTCGTTCTCCTGAGGAGACTCGGCAGGAGTCAGAGGAAAGAGAGGGTGTTACAGAGGCAACAAGGAAACGAGGAGCTTTACTCTCACTTCGGATTATCTTAGTTATTCTCACACCGCTAGAATAAAAGGTGAATGTCGCTCAAAACCAGAAGGGGAACACGTGAGAACTCACCTGCAAGTTTGTCTTTGCTTTCCTCAACACGTCCCGTGTTCTCGACACTGTAAACAAGCACACACACACACACACACACACACACACACAGCACCTGTGAGACGCCATTTGTTCATTCGTGGGTCGAACAGAAGACGAGCAGTAAACATAAGAGTCAATAGCACAGCTGCTCTGGGATTGAACGATTGGAGTGACAGGAAGAAAAAAAAAAAGGCGGATGAAGAAGGAAGAGAGGGCTGGAAGAAGACAACGCAAGACAGTGTGACAGACGCAGACGATGATGAACGATCAGCCCATCTCGTGATAATTCATCTTTGCCTTAACTCTTTCTACTCAACCAACAGACTAAGTGGATGGTATGTGCTCAATATTATCGAATTCAATATTTAATCAAAAGACAATACGATACACGGTTTTATATGATCGACTAGAGAGACTAGCAACTCACGTTGGTTGACTATAAAGTGCTCCATGCTATCTTTGGTGCGGTCAGAGCTCTTCACTCTCTCCATGGCGTCCTTTAGAGCCTGCTCATGCTCCGAGAGCATCAGACGGAGCGAGACAACCTCCTCCCTCAGAGACTGGTCCTGTAAACACACACACACACACACACACACACACACACACACACACACACACAGAGTAAATGTTTAGTATCTGACCACACATGCAGGTACATCGCTGCTGAGGCCAAAAACACACGGGATTAGAACAGTAACTGATCTGTTGACACGTGAATCCTTTTGTGCAGGTTGTAAAGGTCTGATACAGACTGCTTTAGACTCCAATGATTCAGCTGTTACTTCCTGGAACTACCCTGTACTGCCACAAAAGCATCAGCCAGTGTTTCACTACGTTAAACGTGATGAAAACATTAAAAAAGGCTTCACAAGGAGCAACGAAAGATCAAAGGCTGTTTTTAAAAAGAACTCCTCTGCTCTGGGCTCCTCTACATGTTCCATCCCATCAGACTGCTGCTCTGTGATTTCACTCTGTAAGACTGCGAGGCGTTTTGTTCAGACCTGCTTGGCTTCCTCGTGGTTTGGAAGAGCTGCTCTCCAGAACATCTGCAGCAGAGCGCCGGCCTCCTCCAGGATCTCTCGCAGGGTTTTAGTGTCAGACAGCAGCTTGCTGACAGAGTCTGAGTCTGAGGGCTGAGACACACAAAAAACAAGATGTTAATAAAAAAGTTAAATTATTAGTTCATCTATCAGCTATTCCCCTTGTTAATCTGTAAATCATCTAGCCCAATAAAGCCCTAACAGGTAAAAAAGATACAAAGTTCAAATGTCTTGATGACCAGCAGCTAAGAGTAGTCACTTAATAACAATGTAAATCAACAGTAAAGATGGACTAAACTATGTAGAGTTGCAGTTCATTTATATTTCATTAAAGATGTTTTTTCAAGGTTTATTCATATTTCATAATGCTATTTTTCTCATAGCTTATTCGTCATTATTTTTCACACTGTTCTTCATAAAAGTGTTTGTGTCATTGCCCCATCGACCTTCATCCACTCACATCTCTCCAGCATTTCACAAGTCTAAACGAAAAACAGTGTGAAAGAAATGATCTGTTTGAGGTGGTATGAAATATAAAAGATCTTCTGAAAACAACACATTCAGACTGCACTGACTTCCACGTGGAGGGTTTCATTTCTATGTCGACAAAACCTCGGGTCTATATAATAATAATGTGATGCTATTACACTGTTTGTAATAACACCAATGATCAGTGGGCCATGTGAGTGTTGATTGTTGAATGTTGATCGTTAACAGGACGTTCACCCGTGACTAGAGAACCGCCCCATGAACGATTCTTCTGGTTCTGTATTTTTTTAATAACATCGATGAAGACGACCACAGAAAGGCAGGACTCAGAGGAGAAAAGTCGCAATCACAAATCCATCTGCCACTTCAGCACCACGGACAGCGCCACGGATTTATTAATACACAGCACAGTCAGGCTACTGGTATTTCAGAGCCGTGGTCGGGGCCACAGAGTCTAACTTTCCCAAACCTCAGTCAGATAATAAAGGAGCGATGCGTCAGGCAAACACATTCAACTTAACAACACCTGCACTGTCTCTGCTACCACAGGGATGGAGACGGGGGGTTCCAGGCATGAGCACTGGCGGCAATTTTTGACCTCGTCAATTCAACCAATCATAAAAATGCGGAATCGAAAAAGCATATTTGACTAATATCCGTTTGGTTGGTTTGGCCCCATAAAACATGAGCAGCAGAGAGCCCTGTCACTTTTCTGATCAGCTTTCCTTAAGTGCCGAACAAACAGCTGACTACTAAAGGTTTAAGTGCTGTTTAAGTGCAAGAGCGCGCCTATGACGGGCGCACACAGTTCGTTGTAGCTCGTTTCGAAGGTTATGTAAACACCGTTCGGTGGCAAGTATTCATACATTATCATTTGATCGTGTGGTCAGTTATAGATGACTAGACGGATTGTATGAAGGACTAAAATGCTGATAAAACTACAGCCTATGAGAAGTTCCGCAGTGCCATTACGCACGGCCTGTTTACCTCTATGAAATCACGCTGGGAGATAGCTTCAGATAAAAGCGCCGACAGTGGCTTACAGTCCTAAAGAACATCCATAGTAACACTGGTTATTGGTGACCAACCAATATCTATTACTGCAACCCTCTGGATGGCAGGTTGACAACAGGCATGCATTTTAGTCATTCTGCTAACAAGGGGGACGGCTTCCCGCCACAAATACAATCCAAAACATAACATAAACTTGAATTAGCTGCTTCAGTCACCATCAGGATGACCTGGTCTGTGGTGTTTTGGCTTCCCGTCTCTCTCACCTGATGAAGGCTGAACTCCTGCGGGGTGTTCAGGGAATAAAATGTAGTCTCCATCTTGCGGAGGAGAGCGCTGCCCTCCAGGATCTGCTGCTGCAGAGCCTTGAAGTCATCGACATGGCCCACTGCATGGCGGCCGTGACGGTTGGCGAATGAGCCGTCGGGAGCTTGGCCCTGCAGTGTCGAGGCTGCAGGGATGGGAAGACAAGAGAATTAGGAACAGGAGCTGGAGGCAGACACATGAGATGTATGTGCCATGGTGTGCCGCCATGTGATAAATGGATGTATCGGCAGAATAATAAGGGAATCTGAACTGTTCTCACATTTAAGTGTTGATTGGTTCTCACCTTGACCGGCAGCTCCAGTTTCTGCTGCATGCTTCTGTGCATGAGGTCGAGGAGAGGAAGGACTGATGAGCCCAGTGTCTCTCACAGGGGGGGAGGGAACGTTTTCTGTAGGAGGAAGATTTCCATCAGTGCCGAGCTGCAAAAATCTTCTTCTCAATATGACATCTTTCTCAGTTATTAAGCTCCAAAAGAATAATTTTTCTTAATCTGGTGTTGTGATCGGCTTTACCATCATATTTGAACATGCTGTCGGGTGTGTCAGGCATATACTGACCGTTGAAGAGCTGTCTCCTGGATCGAGGCTGTGTGTCGGCCTGTCCGCTCAGCTGCTGCTCCAGCTGAAGGTGCAGCTCCCTGGGGTCCAAAGTCGCAGCGCTGCGTCCAGGTTTGGCACCATCACCGGCCTGACCTGCTTGGAAACACACAAACACGGATGTTGTACAAAGATTTTTTTTTTAAAGAAAGATTCCTGCAGCTGCCGTGACGCTGCACAAAAGCTGATTTTAGGGGCTTAAGACGTCTCTGGAAGTTCACATCGCAGTCTCTTACCTGGGTGTGTGTTTGTGTTGACTCCACACACTCTGTGGTAGACCTGCAGCTCACACTGAAGAGAGTGGACCAGACTGTGGCTCTCACAGAGCTGCTGTTGGAGGACGCTCACCTCCTGCTGGAGTCTAAGAAAACACACACACATGAACCCTTACGTTATTTAGCCTGTTATTGTCATATCCAGCTCTTGTTATACAAAGCAGCTGATCAAAAAATCTGCTCACTTGCACTTCTATACATGAGAGGCCCCTACTGGACGCGATACAGTCTCTAGCGCCCTAACTTAACCACCAGGTTGAGGAGCAGTATGTCCCGGCCCCTTTCCTGGTTGAAGGGCTGTTTCCCCTCTGACCACACTCGGCATCACTGACTCTCAAGGTCGTAAAATGACAATTACAAAGTACATGAACACACACCTGTTGATGGCTTCCTGGTTCTTCTGTCTGTCCTGTTTCAGTTCTGTATTCTCATGACTGCGAGCTTCAGCCTCAGTTTGCAGCTTCCTGCTTTGCTCCGCCCACCTCTCTGCCTCTAGCTCCGCCCCCCTCAGCTGCTCCGCCTCCTTGCTGCCCTCTGCAGGGACACAGGACATTACATTTTTACGTTACACTGATAGTGCAGAGCAGGGGCAAGTTATTTAGCCCTGAACAGAACCAGAACTGATGCCTAGAAAAGTGCATTGAGTAGAGGGCGTGTCTCCCTTCCAAACAAAGAAGACTTGAATGTCACTCAATGGCGGTAAAAAACAATCAATAAAATAGGTTTTTCCAAAATTGTGAATCACCACGACCCCAAGAGACCCTTGAGCATACAGTCATAAATGAACACAGTAAAAATCAGGCTGGTGGGTCGAGTAGTATTAGAGATTAGCCGCTGACAGACACAAACACACACACATACAACTTAACGCATGATCTCCACACAGGCTTACGTCTGGCGGAGATAATAACTTATGTGCGATCGCAGGCACGAAAGCTCTAAATCTGCGTCATACAACTTAACGGATTCCTCTACAGGCTGAGGCCCTGGTAGTGAGCATCAGACTGTACCTCTGGGGGCCTGTTTAAGCTGGTTCTGCAGACTGACGTTCTCTTCCTTCAGAAGTCTGATCTCACTGGACAGCTGGCCGACCGAGTCCAGACCCTGGATGTAGATGTTGGTAGGAGCCCCTGGAGAAGACATGGGGGCGTTAGACATGTAATATTTATCATGTGCAAGCAAGGTAACAAGCTAACAAGCTAGTGTTTTGCATAGATTAGGCTTTATATTAAATATCTACAATGAGATAACTTACCAACTCTACACTTCCTCATGTTTTCCTGAATCTAACAAATTAACAGCTCGTTTCAAATCAATTATTAGAACAATTCCATGGAAATAAGAATGAAACTCAGGCACCTGATAAACACAGCTCTATCATGTTATTGAGTGTATGTATTTGTGTGTGTGTGTGTGTTACCTTTCTCAGTGGCGGTGTGAGCCAGTCTGTCCTCCAGCTGCTGCCGGAGGCGATCGTTGGTCTGGATGGAGTCCTCCAGTCTCTGTCTCAGACTCCTGATCTCTCTCAGGTGCTCCTTCATCAAGTCTGAACCTGTAACAGAAACACAATTCACAACTTGCTTTTAGAGACCACTAGTTTTAGTCACACTGTAAATATCAAATACAAAGATGGATGAATAAAATCAACACAGGTATTGACGGACCACATCAGTGTTTCTGCATATTTTTGCCCATTTATTTACCAAGTGAAAGGTTTTATCTGGCCGTCATTAGTCACCAGCCTGTATATATTTTTTGCACTTATAATAACACATTATTTATTTGAGAGTCTACCTGTGTTACTGGCGCCGGACTGGTACCCCGAGGATCCCGAGGACAGGTCCGCTCCGAGTCTCACCGGTCGGGTACCATAGCTCATATCCCACAATGCACTGCTCTCCAACAGACTGGCCCCGGCTTTCATTGCCGAGCCGGCATCCAGACCGCCGCTGGTAGCGCTGCTGAAAGGAGAAGGCTGGTATCCATGGTAGGAGAGAGGCAGAAAGGCGGAGGAGTCGGGCTGCTGCTGGGCAAACGGGAAACCCTGAAGAGGTTTGGACTGGGGAGTGGAAAACCCTGAAGAAGAAGATGAAGTCACATGAAATTAAGTCAATACAGTTAAATAGCAGCTAATAAAAGGCAAAGAACCCAGCCTGAGAGAGATAGACACTTGTCTACATTGCAAGACTGAAAGAGACGTAGCGAGCGACTCAATCAGCCAAATGATATCGGTCTAGTTTCTCAAAGCTCCATCCCTCATTAGTGTTTAGAAATCACAGCAAATCCTTCTCAAACTGGGTGCTCTGTGTTCATCAAGCATCAAATGATGACCAGTTACTTAATGAGAGAGAGAGTGGAGGGTGTTAGTCAAAGCGAAGAGGAGAGGAAAAGAGAATAAAGCCTGTAGCAGGGTTAACATCCATAATCCTCATACTGATGGTGAGGCAGCTACACCGCTAATCCTTTTCGGATGTGCAAACATACTTATTATACTGAGCAGCTAGCTTCACATGCAGACAACAATGATTTAGTTGTTTCGTACTGGGAGAATACTGTGAATCTCCAAAGGAAGTTAAAAGAAATATGTTTTGACTCTTTGGAAGTTTGAACTTTTAAGCAAGAGCAGCTCGGGAAGACGCTCGATATTGGGTGGCGGCTAGAAAAACTTCACCATCTTCTTCAGTGTGTGAATGCACAGTAAAAGTTTTCTTGGCTGCCAATGGCTTGATTTTGTGCTGTTGATATTCAGCCTGATATGATGCACAGTGTTACTGAGCATCAAACACACAGTTAGTTCACACTCTCCCACACGCAAACTCATGCACGGCACAGTCAGGCCGACGCACTCTCATTGCCTCCCAGCTGCCTTTGTAACATCTGCAGCTCCTGATGCACCTCAGCCAGGGAGAAACCCACTCCCCCATCGCCCGGGTAACGGGTGCGCAGGGTAGCGGGGTGGGGATGGAAGGGCAAAGGTACCCTCTGGGTGGAGGAGGAGAAAGAGGAGGAGGAGGGTGGAGGGTGGAAGGGGGCAGAGGTGAAGACTGAGGCTGGAGCTGGGAGGAGAAGAAGAATGAAGCACAAGAGTGAGAAGAGAGATACAGGCAGGAGGAGGCGCCGTCAGAGGTGCGAGGTGAAGGTGTAAAAATGCGGCAGAAAAGTAATTCACATGAAGGGACTTCTTTCGCAGCCTGGGCTACGCTCAGGAGCCCACTCCTACCTGTCTGACCCTGCACGTCTGCGGGCTTGTGCGGCGAGCTGGGGCAATGCATGCTGGGGCAGCTGAGGCAGGTTCTATGGGATGAGGTGACGGATGGTACAGACGCATGATGTGACACGGTGCCACTGTGGGAGTGGCAATCTGGAAATGAAAAGCAGCCTGCTGTCACACTAAAGGAGGTGATGGATGGAACGCGTGTGTTTGACCTCAAACCACGTCCGCGTTTAAAAGCATCACATTAGGCCAGGACTCTTTCTGATATTTGAGATGAAGGGAGGACATGATACTGCACAGGTCATGAGATAAAAGCCGATAGCTGAATTAAAAGTGTAAGGCTGGTGTTATGCCAACGACGGGTGTCACGTTCTCACCTGTGGCGACTCTGGTGCAAGTCCGTGTGTCCTTCTGGCCGAGCTCGCTGGCAGCGTCCACGTCGGAGCAAGGATCCAGGTCCCCGTTCGTGGATCCGTGCTCGTCGGACACATAGGAGATGCGATCCGATTGGTCGGTGGTGTCGGAGAGGGCGTGGCTGCTGCTGGGCGTGTCAGAGCGCTGATGGTGATGATGCTGGTTTAGTTTGGTGCGGAGAGACTCGATGACCTTGTCTTTCTGCTGCAGCTCCTTACTGAGCCTGTAACGCACACACACACAGACACACAGACACACACACACACACACACACACACACACACACACAGATATATATACAGTTGTGTGAAAAAGTGTTTGCCCCCTTCCTGATTTCTTATTTTTTTGCATGTTTGTCACACTTAAATGTTTCAGATCATCAAACAAATTTAAATATTAGACAAAGATAACACAAGTAAACACAAAATGCAGTTTTTAAATGAAGGTTTTTATTATTAAGGGAAAAAAAAAATCCAACCTACATGGCCCTGTGTGAAAAATTGATTGTACTGTACTATTCATATGTGGTTTAATTATCAGTGAAACTAATCCATTTACTTTCTTCCAGACCACATTAACTTAGTGCAACCCATACATGTACATCAAAAAACCTGTTTTCTTTATGTTTTATGTTTTCTTTCCTGGACCAGCAGGATAAATGTGGGTGGGTAGTATTACTCCTCCCTCATTTCCACCACTGAGTTGCCTTTGAGCCAATAAGCCCTTTACACCCATCTGCACAAAATACGTTTTGGTCTTAATCATATCGAACAACCAAAATCTTTCTCTTTCCATTCCCTGAAGCAAAATCTAATAAATTGGGGGTCCTTGCCACCAAAAACGTTTCAGAACCACTGATGTAACTGATCAAACTTTTCAAATGATGTACTGTTGGACCAGTTGGTGCAGAGACCCAAATATCCAATATACCTTAACTTGCTCCTACACTGGTCTATCAGATCAGTTGTTGTTACCTGTCAACCACGCATAGAAGCACACAATCTTAAGAAAATCCCAGTTTTTTCAAAATGAAAATCTATAAAAGTGAAATAATATGAACGGAGCGAGCGTGAGAACAGCTGCATTCGCTGCCTAAGTTGTGACTCAAAGGATAAAGAGCATTAATGAGCGACGATGTACGAGGTGTGTGAGCCAACTGCCTGCTGATCTGCACTGTCCCACAGAGGCTTTGCCGATTGCATTGCTTCAGGGGAAGCCTCTTAGTACATGACGCTGCATCGCATCACACGGGGTAAAAGTGCAGACTCACGCTTTCACAAGAAGCATCACACCGACGTGATACGCGTGAATGGAAAAATAAAAACTAGAAGGGCAGACATAGAGAGGAAGGATGGAGGGGGAACAAGACAACACACTCGCAGCAGCGTGTCCCCGACAGCTGTTTTAATTAACGGTGACATGTTGGTACACAGATGCTGAGGTTGGAGGTCATTCATCTAAATCAATGGCAAGCTGATACACACACTGACAATACACACACACACACACACACGCACACAGACCCACAGTCACGAGACGATTGCAACATCAGAGTCCACCTACAGTACTTTTCCGTCTTTTGATGTTCACATCACATCACAAACTGTTGTGACCTAAAATGCAGCAGACTTTAAGTAAAAAGATGAATAAAATACTTGTTTGTGAGCTTTGTTTGGTTAGCCTAGCTTAGCATAAAGACTGGAAGCGGGTGGAAACAGCTAGCCTGGCTCTGAGACTTTTACCTTTTTTTTTTTTTTTTTTTAAAAAGGTAAACAATTATGTTTAAAAGTTCAAAAAGTTCTACATAAATAAGCTATTATCATGGACATTCCACGAGGTAGGTTTTTTTCGTGTCCGTCTTACTTTTGGAGTTGTGTGAGCAGTGCCCTCCTCTCCCTGTCGGTGAGTTTCTTCAGCAGCAGCAGTTCTCTCTCCTGGGCCTTCCACTTCCACAGAGAGAAGGAGAACAGAGAGTCTCTGTACAGCGGGCTGCTTTTCGACAGCATAGCCTTCCACAAAGGAGCCATCAGGCACCTTTCGGCCCCCTGTGCTTCCCCCGGCCGTCGGCCCTCTGCCTGGGCTACTGACTGGCCATCCCTCCTCTCCGTCTCTCAGACTCCTGGGTCGTTTAAGTTTTTCTCCGTTGCAGCTTTTCCTCCCAGCCGTGTCTCCAGAGGTAACCGAGCGTGGCTCATTAGCTTAGCAGGCTGAGGTCCTGACCTCAGTCTGTGTGAGGCAGCAGGTACAGTGGACAGGCAGAGCGGATACAAAGGATGGAGGGATGACTGGGCGTGTGAAAAGCAGAGCAAATCCTCAGATTAAGTTCGGGCTTCCCAGGGAGATAGATTTTGGTGGCTACCTCCACACACACCGAGACACAGATCCTGGGAGCGTGTGAGCTGGGACCACAGGTGGTAACCCAAATAAATCCCAAATCAGATTCTAAGGGCACAAAGACGAGCATGTGGAGGGGGCAGACTGAAGCAACAGAACCAGAAAAACAAGTGTTGATTCACACAGCGGATTCAAAGGATTTGACGTCCAAACGTTGATGTAGATCCAACCACAGCGGATCAGTCAGATGGTTTGATGACAGGAACAGCTGTCAGCAGAGATCAAGAAAAGTGAATTCCGTGTGCAGCTCAGCACAGTTTTGAGATTCAACCCCACCAGCGTGCGATGAGGTGAAGCATGAAATGAATTGAAAAGCTAAAATAGAAACAAAAATATTACTATAATTAGCTCTGTGGTGAGCAAAGAGCTGAAACAAGTGCCTGAGGACACTCTGGGTCTTCCTCTTTTTGTTTGTTTACAACCCTGCTAAATCTCTCTCTTTCCTGTTGCCTGTCTCCGGTCCCAAAATAAGCCTTTTTTTTCAATTGAAGTCTTGAATAGTGCCCTCAAAGGAAAGCCTCTTAGTACCACTCTGGACAAAACCTATCCCACCAGCCAACGCAGCAGCAGCAACAACAACAGCAACAGCAGCAGACCCTGCGGGAGAGATGTAGTGATGAAAGAGCAACACGCAGAGGGAGGAGAGGGATGTGCGTATATAAACGGACGTCCGGATCCCCAGGGCTCGTGCGTTCACGCTGCACTGCCCATCAGAGAAAGAGAGGAACGGGAGCCGAATGAATGATCGTCCACAAAGCAGCACTTCCTCTTTCTTCTGCTTGTTCGCTGTCAACTTGCAAAAACAAGCACGCCTCCTCTCTGGCGCAGGAGTGAATTCATAAATAAGAGCGGCTCTTCTTTGCAGGATTTGTCGAGGAGTTGAAAATTATTTTTATTTCTATTTTAAAGTGTCCCACGTTGGAAAAGGAAGCTTTACACCAGAAGAAGAGTTTATATCCAGCTTTACCTTGCAGAAAATCCAAGAACCAATAGTAAGTAGATGGAATAGCAGATCAATTTAAGTCAAAACTGCATTATCCTCTCCACAAATAAAAATAAAATCCAGGTTTCTGATGAGAGGCTCTTACGTAATGCAGATCAGAGCAGTGCTGGATGTTGAAGCACCATGTGCTGCTTCCGATACGCTGAAGCAAGCTGAGGCTCTCAGTGGAGCTACGTCCTGCTGCTGCTTCCCCTCACGTTTCCCTCTCGCTCTCTTTCTCTCTCCTCCTCCCTCCCTCCCTCTCTGCGTTTAGCTGCTCATGACCTATTTCCCTCCCCACCGGAGGTCTTAATAACTTAACCTGATTAGAGGCCATGCCAACATGCTTGGAGCCCAACGCAAGCAGCAAAAGCCTCGGCAGCATTGCACAGCAGCGCAATCTCACACACACACACACACACACACACACACACACACAAACACACTGAATATAGACATACATTCATTCCCATAATGTATATTTTAATCGCTGCCATGATTACGTTCACTGACAATGTTTTCTTTTTGAAGATGTTGATCTTGCTTTTTTACTAGTTGTTTTGTACTAAAAACCAATCAATGGCAGACATATTCTTTCAAGTGTTTTCTCCTTGTTATGTCAATGTAAAAAAAAGTAATCTAAGTGGCATCCCATTTCTGTCAAAGCAAATGCGCTGTGGCAGATTAGTCGTATATAAAAACATCATTTTTATCGGGACACCCTGTCATGCATTAATGCTACTTGATTGTGTGTTTATACATACAATATGTCACAAAGTCTTAGCGTGAATTAAGTTAATGCCCCCCCCCCCCAACACACACCCCACAACCCCACACACACACACACACACACACACACACACACACACCCTGTACATACACTCAGAATCAGAGGGACAGTCTAAATGGGATGCTTGTCGCAGACTCACAGTAAACACACTCAATAAATCTCCTTCACATCTGGTCGGCCATCTGTGCTGCAACAACATGATGTTAGATGACTGCAGGCCTCTCTCCCTCTCTCCCTCTCTCTCCATCTCTCGTTCTCTCTAGTTATTCACAGAGCATTGTTTATTTGTGGGTTTGACCCAACACTCACCCTATGGTCTCTATGGTCCAGCTTAAAGGACCACACCAGTGTTTTTGTTGTTTTTGTTTTAGCATGTTTCAGCTCATTCATCGAAAAACCGTATGGGCTTTCATGCAGTAACTGCCCATCATCTGTCAGCTATTTTACTGATATTTTTATTCAAATTGACGTTGATAAATAACTATTATTTTTCCACCTTTCAGGCAGCCTTGTGACTCTTCTCATCGAACCCAGGTACGAAAATCAGAGAGCGGCATTAAGAAGCAGAATTAGATGCGTTACAAATGACTGAACATCCAGGACATTCGTCGGCCACAAGCTGCGCTTTTTGCTTTTGCCTAAAAGAGACAGAGACACTTTTGAAATACTTGTAAAAGAGTCCCAAACATTCATGCTGAGGTTTGTGGATTGTTTAGGATGACTGTTCTAAACCAACCTCCAGCCTATTGCATTTTCAAAGCAATTTAATGCTTCACCACCTTGAGGTGCACATTTGATAAAATGATTCCCCTCCTCCACTGCTGTCCGATCAAATATACAGTATGACGTCACCTACATCCAACACCAGACACACGTATACCTCTCAGCCAGCTCAGGAGTTTGACTGATTTATCAATAATATAAAGATATTGATTAGTTGAGTTTGATAGCAACATTATATCATTGTTTCTTTTGTCCCACACTAAGAATATTGGTATGATGTTCATTCTATATTAAACAAAGATTGTTTTGTTCCTCTTGTGTAACTTTGTTTGTCCTGTTCTAACTCGTGCTGTCCTTTTGTTTTTTTCTCTTCTTTTGTCCCCTCTTCTTTGCCGTCTGCCTAATTAGCTGACCGATCGACCGGACAGTTAAGGTCCTTGCTGGGACATCAGCAGAGCCCTGCTGGTCACGACTCCCCAGCAGAAATGAATGAGCTGTATGGGTTGGATGAGTGTGTGGTGGTGGGTGCAGGGCGGCCCAATCGTGGCTCTGCCCCGCAGGACTTTATGGTTTTGTAATGCAGCGCTGTCAGAGCAGCTGACTTCACAAGTTGCTGAAGGGCCCAACGAGACATCCTGCCAGCTGCGACGACCAGCAGCGGGAAAAAAAGACTTGGCATGGTGTGAAAGGAAAGAGACGAGTGAAAGAAACCAAATAAGTTCTGTGGCACAGAGGCAGGGAGATATGAGATAAAGACTTTCTCCGATGTTATCTGCGGTTAACACAGGAATATTCAGTTTGACTGACTCTTTCTAATCGCACAAATACGTAGTCATTGTTCAGTCCATGTGGGTTGAAACGACATATGTTGTGATTCTCATTTCAAGCAAACCGTTTGCTAAAGTTCTACCCGACTTTGTGTCGTACAAATCACGGCATTCGCAATGACAACAGGGAAATGTAGAGATGTTCTAAACAGGGAACGATGACTACAACAAGGCGCGGGTCAGCTGACATAAGAGGCAGCCGAAGGCGTCACTAAGTTTCTTCATGCCAGCCTACTAGCTGTCTGTACTATAAGAAGATATTCTAATAATTAAAGAAGCCCACGGTCTCTGAAAGCCAGAAGGTAATGAAACACTAAAGTGTATTAGTTGACCTTCTGTTTCTTCATTATTTTCCCTCTATCTAATTTTGATTGAGTAGCAATTTATCTCTCTGATCTCTTGCACTCGACGCCCCCAAATTTGGGGGCTCTCGGGCTTAGGGGGGGTTGCAAATATCGTCAAACCATGACTCCCATTGAGAGTGAATATTGTGCATTTGTACATTTCATATACCGGATTAAACAGCAACATATGGGCAACACTATCATATAAGTCACTTTTTACACACTCCAAACACAACTATACACTACTAATATAAGCATCTAGAAAATGTGGCATGAAACCACGAATTCCTGGCCAAAAATCTGCATTATATTTACTGCACATCAATATTGGAACACGAAGCTAACAGCTACCGAGCTAATCAATACATCGCTTAGCATTAGCATTCGACGCAGAACGCATATATGCCTTCGGTTTTTCTCTCCGTGGAACCACTACAAAGATGTGAGTCAACAACGGCAACACAACAGTTCTCTTCACTGGAAAAAATTATCGCCATCTGCTTACCTTTATGAAAAAAATCACAAAAATAACGGCGAAAATTATCCGGTTCAAAGCTAGAATCATTGTTGGCAACTGCATCCTGTCTGTTTCTCATCGGTTTCCTGTAGAAGGGGGGTCAATCTAACTGTGGGACCCGGGGGTGGGTGGTCAGACTTTTGGCGAATGGAATTTTACGCTCGGGGATGCGCGGCACTCTTTGCATCTTTACTCACTGAAAATTCTGTCAATCAACACCCGGCTTCGACGCCCACCTTCCTGAGACTCTGACGCGTCGAAGGCGGGCTCATTGACTGAAATCAACCGATGATAGACTGAACTACAGCCCCATACACACACAGCAACTGGAATTCAGACAAGAAAATCCTATGGCTGACAGACAAGAACAGGCTCTGAGAGGACCCTGGCTTTCAAAATGATTCCAAACGGCTGTATTTGGATGTATTGAATAATATGAGTGATAAAAAAAGTGAAATATATAGTTATATAGTATATAAAAGTACAATGAAAGAGCTGCAACAGCTGGTTCCAAAATAACGACCTTGCATGACCTCTCTCTACTAAAAGCTTCTATAACTTTCTTATTCTTCACTTTATCCCAGCCAAACGTTATTTTCTAGGACTACTGATCGGTTGTGCTATGATTTGGGAGAGTTTTTAGGCTGCCAGCTGCATTATTTCAAAAACCTAATATCAATAAAAGTGCTTTTTTTTCAGGTGAACCTGAATATTTTCAATTTAAGCTGTGTAATATCTTCATGTACTATATTAACCAGCAACATATACACAATATTTACCCATCTGAATAAATCTCACAAGTGTTATCTGAATTACAGCATCAAACATTGTTAAAATAGACCTTGTAGTTACAGAATTGTGGTCTCTTTAGTATGGGTATGCCATTTTCGAGCAGAGGCCTACAAATAGGGCTGGAGTTTAAAAGAAAGAAAGAAACAAATCTCCCTTCAAAGTACGTAACATTACACCCTTCACATTTAAAATCATGTGAATGGAGTCACTTAGAGAAGAGGCTACTCTCTAATTACTACTGTCTACTAACTAATATCACAGAACTCGTACCAACTCTGTTCAAAAATGTGTGAAATATATATATGTTAATGAAGAAGTCACAGCTCCATCACATTGCTAGTGTAATAAAAAGGCCAAAAATAATTTTTTGAATACATTTTTACTTGAAAACTAATAATATTAAAAGCATTATGCCTTAACTGACACTGAGTATAGACTGAGGTTTTTTCTGTGTTTGAAACATTTTTCTAAAAGTGTTCAAAAACTGCTTCTCTATCAATACTGCCAAATAATTCATGAGGGAGTGCATCTGTGTCTTCCTGTGTGTTAGATGACTCTCCAGCCCTTCATGAATTACCCAGTTATCTCTGTCATTAACTATCCGGTGAGATCATCGCTCATTATCGAGAGAGCGTCTGATTAATTCGCCCTGAGGAACAAACGTCGGCCGGCACGTCACACACCAATACTTTCCATTGACCAACATGGAGCCTGCTGTTACGCAGAGCTCGAGAGAAGCAACACACAGGAACAGGCAAACACAGAAAAGACACACACACACACACACACACACACACACACACACACACACACACA